GATATTGTACCGTTTGCACAGGCCAGAATGTTTGCGCATGTCTCAGGCCATGGACTACTACTATGCAGATGCTCTGTTTTCTTTGTCAGTGTTTCACGTCGTGTTGTGCTAAGACAACCAAAACCAACTTTAACGACAGTTGACGAAATGTACATATGTTGAGTTGTTGGTTACTGGATGGTTGGTCGTTACTGGCCGTATACAGGGTTTTCATTTCCATTTCTTTTTTTTGGTTCGTACGTGATTTGTTGAAATGAGGACATTTCTACCACAGCAGGGGAAGACTGTAACCGTATTTACTGTGCACATTATTTTTGGATTATTTTAATTAAGTGTATGTCACTGATTTATGTTATATTATTATTATGCTTTGCAGTAATTTTATTGAGGTTAATGTATATTTATTTTACATTACAATGTTATGTTGAATGATCAGATTTAATATTAATTTATTTAATTTTATTTATAAAAAACAGCACTTTATTATTTCGGTTATATTTATGTGTGTTATATTTAGGTTCAGTATGTTCTCTTGGTTATCCGTTTTATTAGTTCCTAGCTTCCCGGGTACACAGGGGGACGGGTTTAGAGGCGAACGGTGGGGAGTGGCTGGGAGAAGAAGTAGGAAGGTGTTGTACTGCCGTGTTGGTGATTATTAAACGTAATCGTTACAGAAACTGTAGCCCGCTTACTACCCACAGTCCGAGAGGGAGACTGGCACACGCTACCCACTCATCAAGAAACAAGGGTTACATTAACTTTAGCGGTCTTCCACTGATAGTGGCGTTAGTTAGCTTTGTGGTTAGCTAGTCTATGATGAGCCATAATTTAGCAATGGATAACGTCATACTGCAAATTGTAAAACATACATTTTCAATATAACAGGCCAAGGAGAGATGATACATCTCACTGCTATAACTGTCACGCTATTAAAGAAATACTTCAGTCTCATTGTCAAAAGTTAAAAGGACAGTCAGTCAACTACACTGTAACAACGTAACGTAATTACTAGCTAATTCCGCTTCACTGGACATGATAGTCACGAATTTTGTCAAGCTTATTTGAGTTAAGAGAACTGAAGGGGATGTTCTTTTAATTGTTATTCAAGCAATGTATGTCTCGTGACCAACTCACCATGAACACACTTCACCGATGATCTCATTCGCGGATAACTGGTTCTCTCTGCCCGACTCTAGCTGGATCAGCAGGTTGCAGGATGTGTGGCGCGTTATACACGAGTGTTGCCAACAGGGACGGTGTAGAGTGCCCTCTGGTGGACAAACTATACAACGCCAACACTCATGACATGGTTGAAGGGTGTTTCGTCCGTTTATATTTTATTTTTGAAATATTCATTTATCGGCCATTATAAATGCCGATACCGATAGTTTGGAAAATGCCTAATATCGGCCGATAATATCGGCCTGCCGATAAATCGGTCGGGCTCTAAATGTAACACTGATTTGGTGAGAATTATATAAACACCATGCAGTGTTAATTTAACACTGGCAAATTTGCTGTGCAGGATTAACACATCTGTTACGTATATCTTTGGCATTATCTTTAGCCTACAAACACAATCATGCAAGTTAGCATAACTTAGCTGCTAAGATTATATATCTCACATTTCCTTCAAAAACAAAAAAAAAACTATAATTTTTAATTTAACTAAGGAATAACAATCCACCATAAACATCAACTTACAGACAAATAATGTCCGGGGCTTAAGCGCTTAAGACGGGAGTTCGCCAGTGTTCAGCTGCGTCCATAACTTGTGATCAATGCTGTACGTTTTACTAGACCGGGAAGTACAGAGGAATTACATCCACGCAAATGTCCACAAGGTGGCAGCCCCTCCCAAGCTAAGTCAACCTAAATAGAAATTAAACCCAATCCAAAGCTTACCTATGAAAGGCAGAATAGTTACTAATGGTACAAAACACATTTTTCTTTTCACAGTTAACACTATAACAACTGTAGATTTGGAGAATGATTATACCCCGAGAGAATGACAGGCTGCCATTCCTATAGTTACACAAGGCAAAGTCAGGTGATAAACATCCTGTCACTTTACTGCTACCTTAGTGTCAAGTTTTATTTTTCTTTTATTAAAAAAAAAATGCATTTGCTGTTGATTCCAAAGCCCAGTGGGGTAATTACAGCGACAGGCAGTCAAGCTTAAACATAATGTGTCAGAATTAACATGATGAAGCTGAAGACAACGAGAAGTGATTATTAATACAGACTGTACATTTCAACACTGCAAACAACACTGCAGAGGTCTGTTAATCATGTGACGTACAAATATTTACATGGGAAGGTTTCTGTAATGTCCTGAAACCGGTCTGCTTATGACTTATAGCTTTCCCGATACATTGTTTCACTAAGTAGTATCTCTTCAAATGAAGTAATCAAGCTTTTTTGTTAAGCAGATATTCTGACACAAAAAAATGTTGAGAAGTTCCATGTAACAACAGCATAATATACAAAGTTCAGTTTAGAAGAAACAGGATGACATGAAGGATCCTGTATTGATCTTCACAGCTGACTTTATCCTCAGGTGACTGACTATAGATACAACATAATGATCCTTCCCAGGGTGCTGCTCTGCAGATGAACATCTGCTTATATGCATCTGCAGCTTGTCCTAGAAAAGCTTATCTGCTACCCAGAAAAGTCCTTCAACTCCTCAGATAGTCAACTGTAAAAGAGCATCAATAGTCTGATGACTGCTAACAGGAGTCACTGGTTGATCCGGTAAACAGGCAAAAATATAAAATGAAACACTAGAGATCCTTCAGACTTCTGTGTTCTTCTCTCCCAGTAATACCTCCTCAGCGTTTGGTTCATTGTGATCAGCAGGTGATGATGCCTCCATCTCCTGATTCTCACATGATCCCTGAAAAAGTGTGTCAGTTGGTACATTTTATATTCTTTTTTTCATCAAACAAGTAATGTAGCCACCATGTAGTTGTATTTACTATACCAACATGGTTAAAGGACTTATTTTAATGTGACCAAATATTTAAAAAGATTAACATCCCAAAAATTATAGCATGAATGAAATACTCCAACTCTCATGCATACAGACTTTCATTGAGAAGCTAACTTCCTCATTCTTTTACACAAATGCACTGTAAAAACTGACAGGTAACTTAGATCCAAAGTGGAGTAAATGACAGGAACCCTGAGAATCACAGAGTTCTTGTTCCTCTGTTTACCTCCTCTGTGTTTGGTCCATTGGGATGAATGGGGGACAATGCTTTAGTCTCCTCATTGTCACGTGAATCCTACAGAAGTGACAGTATTAATTTAAATACCCCATATTACTGGGTTTCACCAAACACAACGCAGTGACCATTCAGTGAAATTTACCTTTCAGTTTACATTATATTAGTTTTTATGTAGCCAAACATTAATGAAATATTGAAAATATCAACATTCTATAACCGAAGAACTACAGCACTTAATTAAGAATCCAAACTTTTAAAAAATATTCATGATGCTTTTGCATGGAGACTGTTGGTTAGAAGCCAGCTTCCTACTTCTGAATCACACCGTTTAGAAATGACAGGTATCATCATCTAAAGACCCAGGGAGCCTCCATTACATTAACCCTGAGAATCACAAAGTCCTATGTTTTATATCCTCTGTGTTCATTCCTTTGGAATCAGCAGGTAATGATCCTTCAGTCTTGTGACTGTCATGTGATCTCTACAAAAACAGAAGTGTCAGGGGGGACTTGGTCTGGAGCTGGGTGCAAACCACTCCCACACCAGTGACCCCTGTACCCCCAAGCTGCTGTCCTGTGCCCTGTTCATAGGGCAACCTAAAGGGGGCACTGTTACTTCCGAGGTCCTGAGGTGGTGATGATTTTTTTTAGGAAGACATCAAGACACTTTCCAGTGTAATAAAAATGATAAAACGAAAAACCTGACAATCTGCTCAGCTGCCAGCAACTGTAGGGTAAACAATGTCCGAAAGTGGACCTATCAGCACCACAGCCTACAAATAAATGAGCAGTGTTGGGGAATAGCTAAATACAATTAGCAACGCTACTAACTTGACAACTTTTTCAGTAGCTTATCAGTAGCGCAGCTACTTTTAAAATGCTGTGGCTTTTCCAGTAACTGTTTTTTTTTATTATTTACAAATAGTGATGTAGCATCGCAAAACAACGTATCTAGGTGTTTTAGGTTCTGACAGGGGTAACAGGTACCTGCTCACAGGGATGGATTACTTCACCCGGTGGCCAAAAGTCTGCACCACCCCTGACCAGTAGGGGGAGACAGTTGGAGATGCCCTAATGGAGGGCATGTTTAACTGGTTTGGGGAGCCAGAGACCCTGGACAGTGACCGGGGGAGGAATTCTGAATCTGCTGTGTTCGCCTCCCTGTGCAGCCGGCTGCGCATACACAAGACTCACACCTCCCCCTGCAGCCTCAGGATGATGGCTTGGTGAAGAGGTTTCACCGCTTCCTGGAACAATAGCTGCCATCCTTGTGGCAGAGCGTCAGCACGACTGGGACACACCGCTGCCCCTAGTGGTCATTGCCCGCTGCTCTGAGGGGCAGGACTCCAAATGTTCGCACAGCACAGTGCTGACGTGGCCAAAAGCACAGCTATGATCTCCGGGCCCAGGGAAAACACTTCCTGACAGGGTAGCTGGTTTGGGGGCACTGCCCCCAGAGGAAAGAGGGGAGGTGTCCTAAGCTGGCCAGCTGGAGGGGGGGGGTGCAGGGTGCTGGAGCAGATGGACAAGGTGGTGTGCAGGGTGCAGCTGCCACCAGGGGGGAGGAGGGGGGCTCTGCCACGTGACAGGCTGGGCCCTTATAGGGGAGACGCTCCAAGGCCCCTGGTTTCCCCTCCCCACCCTCCCACTATTCCCCCTGCTCCCTGCCACATGGGGAGGCCTGTGTATTAGGCTGTACATTGACTGGGGGGCTTGAGTGGGGTGGAGTGGCTGGCCTGGATGTGAGAGAGGTTGTTCAGTTTTGGCTTTAGATTCGGGGTTAAGGATGACACATTTACCAGAGTCTATATGCAGATTATCTAAGCTTGTTATCACCAATATACATTTCTTTGGTTTAATCAACCTTTTTCTGGGATTCAGTATGATATGACCATCCTCCATAACATGCTTAACAACAGGGACCCATGAAAATGGAGAATGTACTGACATGTTCCTGTGTGCTGGAGTCATAATAAGGGCTCTTCCTCTACCTTAACAGACTCCATACTTACAGGGAAGGAGGAAGAGCACAAGGACCACAGATTAGCTACAGACAAAATTATGTATAATAATCTGAGGGAAGATGGTCAGACTGATGTAGAGAAACAGGCCCCAGGACAGCAGCCAGAGGGGGAGATGTATCTTGGGCACCTACCTGGTCTGGCTCAGGATCTTGGTGTCTCTCAACCAAACCCAAGGCCAGCTGTTGATTTATTCTAAGGAAAAACAATTATGTAATATTTGTCAGAATATCACATTGTAAGTACAGTGATTTATCTTACCAAGTCCCACTACCACCTTAAATTTCAGTAATTCTAGTGTTAGATCATAGAGTTGAACTGTGATGAAACGTTGGAACATTTTAATATATCATTATTTTAAAACACCTCACACCTCCCGGCTTGGGCTCTGTGTAGTTTAAGAACATAAGAACATAAGAAATTTACAAACGAGAGGAGGCCATTCGGCCCATCAAGCTAGTTTGGGGAGAACTTAATTAATAGCTCAGAATTGTTAAATTCTGTAGGTTGTGCTACACTAAAACTACACGCTGTGTAAAGAAGTGTTCCACCTATGTGATTTCCACCTATGGCCTCAAGTTCTAGTATTTAAACCAATATTAAAGTAGCCATTTGGCTGAACAGCATCGAGACCTGTTAGAATCTTATATACCAGGATAATGTCCCCCTTTAATCTCCTTTGCGTGAGGCTGAACAGATTCAGCTCAGCTAACCTCTCCTCATAAGACATTCCTCTAAGACCAGGAATCATTCTTGTAGCCCTACGTTGAACCTTTTCCAAGGCAGTAATGTCCTTTTTTAAGGTATGGTGACCAAACCTGCACACAATATTCTAGGTGGGGTCTTACCAAGGAATTGTATAATCGTAGCATCGCCTATCTTGACTTAAACTCCACACACTTAGAGATGTAACCCAACATCCTATTGGCTTTTTTATTGCTGGCCCACACTGGTAAGAGTGGGACATGGAAGCATCAACATACACACCGAGGTCTTTCTCATAATCAGCTGCCTTTATTTCAGTGGAACCCATAAAATATCTGTACTTCATATTTCTGCTCCCTGCATGGATTACCTTACATTTATCTACGTTAAATTTCATCTGCCAGGTATCAGCCCAGTCGCTAAGTAAATCAAGATCCCGTTGTAGCCTCTGTGCTGCTAGTTTATTATCTGCTACACCACCCAGCTTGGTGGTGGGTAACACTGGCACCTGTAGTTTCCCCAGAGACTCCAGTTTAGTCCCGAAACATGAGGTTTGGCCAACCAGCATCTCTAAATGTCCCATAGTATGTGAATGTGTTTTTGCTCTGTGATGGACTGGCATCCTGCCCAGGGTGTCCCCTGTCTTGTGCCCTGTGCTTCCTGTGACAGGTGCCAGGCTCATCACGAAGGATGGATGGGTGGATTTTTTTGTACATTAATTACATTTTTTTCAGAAAAAATGACTTGCACATATACTACATAGAAAATGTCTACTTACTTTTCTTTTTTGTCCAACCCTGTAATTAAAAAAGATTCAGTTAACAGTGTTGGAGCTCAAAATACTAAAACACCAATAGGAGCTTATTGTAGCTGCCAGGTTACATGTAATGAGTAATGATGATGTGTAATGAGAACTAATGATTACTTGTATATTTATAATTATTATATAATACTGATTACTGAGAGTGACCGTTTTCTGTATTATACAGACACATTTGATGTATTACTGAGGATGTTTATATCATCTCCCTTCCATTGTAATAGTCAGGCTCCCCATTATAGTCTCAGTGCCCCCTACTGGCCAGGAGGCCATTACAGTCCTACACTCTAAAAATTCTGCAATTGCGTCAACTTAAAAAAAAAAAAGTCAACATTATGCATACAGATTTCTGAGTAAACTGAACTTTTGGTTAGAAACTCAGATTGTTGAGTTTACATTCACTGTAAAAAAAATCAGTCAAAAAACAGAAAATGCACTGGCAGAAAATTACTAGCACATTTTCCGTTAAGTTAATGGACTCTTCCTTCAAGTCTCAAGGAAAATACTGTAAATTCAGTTTTCCACAGTTTGTTGTTCCAAGGAATATTTCTTAATAGTTTATTTTCATTTTTAATTTTTCATTTTGCCAATGCAGATTTGTTTGTTTAATAAATGGTGTTGTTCACAAAACCACAAAAAGTAATTTGAGAACATAGTAATTCACTACATTCATTATTTTTCATGGCTCAAGGGCCCATAAACATGCAGTTGTCTAGCTGAAGCTGGATTTGAACCAGAAACCTGTGGATTACAAGATCAAAAACTTAGGCTATTGAGCCACACACTTACAATGACTTGATTTAAGTTGTAACTTTTCAAGTGGAATGAATTGCAATGTACCTGATTATAATACTTGTTGAGCCAGTTAATAAATCTAAGTATTTTTTAAGTATTTCTCCTGTAATATGTGATACATGTTTAAGTTAATTTCCAGGCAAAGCAGTGCTCATTGACACAGATTATAAAGTTTGTTACACTCTGCAGCTCCTGGATCTGCCCACTCTCCTGAAGACCAATAGTGCTGATGTATACTTGCATAGCATGACAGGGTACTGCCTTTGTTAAAACCTTTAACCATGATGGTGTTGAATAGAGCAGCATTATAAATAACCCAGTGACAACACAACGGGGCTACTGCCAGAGCAGTGGATCCTAGTAGGATCTGTTGGTTTGTGTTCCTTGGAGAGGACTTGTTGGGTGGCAGTTCTAAAGATGAATATTATTGGAGTGGAAAAAATAACCTCAATATTTCTACATTCTCTCACTAACAAACCATCTCAGGCATGGAGTGCTACTGTTTTTCTCTGAATATTGAACTTTCCTTTGACATCACACCTGAGATAGAGAAACTGCTCAAGGACCAAACAGAGCAGGATTACTGCTGACATTCAAAGGATTTAAAACAGCAACATTATGATTGCTGATACAGATCCCCAGCCTAAGAGTTATCACACCAGGCTACATACATAATAATACATGGGAGAGACTAATATCTGTGGCATTCCATTTTCAGCTGCGGTGGGTTTCTAAATATGGGTTTCCAAAAATCAAGCCTAATAAAAAAAATTAAATATTAAATGAGCAAATTGATTTGATTTGTTCTTCTATCCCAACTTGTGATCTAAAAGCAATGAGGCTGCCCCCCATAATATCTGCTCTATGGAAATGCACTCCCATAGCCACTAGGGGAGCTCTCACCTTCTTTCAGTCCTGCTAAATTATGTTGCAATTCATTCCACTTGAAAAGTTACAACTTAACTCAAGTCAGTCTAAGTGTTTGGCTCAGTAGCCTAAGTATTTGGTCTGAATTGGCAGAATGAAAAATTAAAAATGAAAATAAACTATTAGTTAAGAAATATTCCTTGGAACAACAAACTGTGGAAAACTGAATTTACAATATTTTCCTTGAGACTTAGGAAGAGTCCGTTAACTTAATGGAAAATGTGCTGGTAATTTTCTGCCAGTACTGTACATTTTCTGTTTTTTGACGGATTTTTTTTTTTTTTTACAGTGAATGTCAACAATCTGAGTTTCTAACCAAAAGTTCAGTTTACTCAGAAATCTGTATGCATAATGTTGACTTTTTTTTTTTTAAGTTAATGCAACTGCAGATTTTTTAGAGTGTACACCACTGAAACAGCATCATAAAGGAAAAACAAAAAAGCTCAAAAGCATTGAAGCAGTAGTGTTACGAAATGTTACATCCTGAGCCACACAGCTATAGTGAATAAATAACAATGTGGTTACAAATGTAATATTCATCCAGGTTAAGTGCTGAGCATATGGAGATGTAAACAATGACTGGAAAGCTGCCAAAGATGCTGGAAAAGTCCCAGTACACATATTCAACCTTTCTGGTAAGTGCATCATATCTCTGTTATACTTACAGTATACAGAAATCTCTGTAACAAACCAGCCAAAGAGGAAGACAGACCCAGAAGTCAGGACAATCAGCCGTAGATCCACTGGCTGTTTTCCTGTGTCTGAAATGACATGATCACAAAAATCACTGAGAACTGAGGTCAGTAAATAAGCAGTAAGTGACAAAGATTAAACCACAGGAATCTATATATTTCCTAAAGGGTTTGTATAATTTACCTGTATGGTTAAGTTTACATAGTAAAAGTAAAACTGCAGGAGAAACATCTCAAATTTATAGTGTATTTACCTGCTTTGAGTTTTAATGCTACAGCCAGGGCAACAGAATTCAGGAGAGGGAGACCAAAAGCCCCTGAGAAATATACATATTTACGGGGTTTGGCTGGAAGAGAAAAGCATTAGTCATACAGCTACATACAATGCTGTAATGAAGCATTTGCCCCGATTCCCTCTATTTTTGCTCATCCGTAATATTTAATTGTGTCTGATAACCAAACGAATTTAGCACAATACAACCAAGCATGCAACAGTTTTGAAATTATCATTTGATTAACTGAAGGAAGGGAAAATCTTTTAAAAAATCAAACAAACAAATATTCCCTAACACTCATATCACCCGTCTGACAAAGTCACCCCCTTTGGCTTCGCTGTGGATAAATTTTGACCCACTCTTCTCTACGGAATTGTTTCAGTTCATCCACATTGGAGAGTTTTCAAATATAAACTGCCCATTTAAGGTCCCGCCCCCATATCTCAATGCGGTTCAAGTCAGGACTTAGAGTAGGCCTCTCCAAAACCTTCATTTTGTTTTTTGTTTTCAGCCATTCAGGGGTGCACTTGCTGTTGTCCTGCTGCATAACCCAATCATGCTTGTTCTTCAGAAGGACATTCTCCTTCAGCACTTTCTGGCAGACAGCTGCAATACTGCTCTTCTGAGCGCACACTACAATACTGCACTGCTGCATCCCTCAATTACAGCAAGTCGCCCAGGCCGGGCAGCAGCAAAGCATCCCCACAGCATCACTCTGCCTCCACCATGTCTGACTGTGGCCATGATGATCTTTGTGTGGAAGCTGTTAGCTTTACGCCAGATGTAGCAGGACCCATGTCTTCCAAATTGCTCCACTTCTGACTCATCAGTCCACAGAACATCCTCCCAAAAGTTTTGGGGGTAATTGAGGTTTTTGGCAAATATTAGACAAACCTTCATGTTCCTCTTATTTAGCAGTAGTTTCTGCCTTGCATCTCTCCCATGATCACCATTTTGCCCAGTGTCTTTCTAGTCATGGAATCAGACAACTGATCTGAAAGAGGACTGCAGTTCCTTAGATCTTTGTTTGAGGTCTGCTGTAGCTTCCCTGATGAGGTTTCTATGCAATCTTGGAGTAATTCTGCTCAGCTAGCCACTCCTGGGCAGATCTACTACGGTTCCAAGTTTTCTTCATCTGAAGACGATGACTCTCAGGGTGATTCAATGCACTCCAAAGGTTTTAGAGAGTGTTTTGTACCCCTTTCCTCACTGATATATTTCAATGATTTTCTTTCTCAGGTCTTCAGGAAGTTCTTCTGATTGAGGCATGATTTGCTGCTTCTTGAGACCCTTATCCAGCTCCTCATTGCTGCAATGGTTCTATTTAAGTGATGTGTAGGTTCATCAGGGCTGGCAGCAATCAAGCTTGGGCGTGTCTAGTTTAATTTAACCCATTATCATTTAGATTTAGTTCTTAGGTTGATTGATTGACAAATACTCTGTCACAGCACTATACATACAGTCAAACAGTCATTAGGTTTTTTCATTAAAACATTTGTGACGCTCAGTTTACAAAATAAAAAAAAAATCACAATGTTTATTTTATTTTAAAACAAAATATCAATAAAAGGGCTGTTTAAAATAAATTTTAAGGTGAAATGAATACATACCATGGAAATGCTTCCTTTTCCAGAATACAAAGAGCAATGTGACAATCAGAATGTAGAGGAACACAAACTCACAGATCTTTACAGGTCGTCCTGTGGTCAGAATCAGTTGCAGTTAATTTCAGTTTTTAATACAACAAAGGTTATTAATGAAATAAACAGGTTCCTGTTCCTCTAAAATCAGTAATTATGTCTCTGAAGACGCACAGAACAAGTTAAATAACAAAATCACTCCATCACTGGAAGTGTCCATTTTATAGCTTAAACAGAAGGTATTACTGTCTATTTGGTAGACTTATGCCTGTATTAGTAAGGTGTAATTTAATAATAACTTCAATCTAGAAATAATTATATTGCATTATTGTTAACAGCAGCCCAAAAAATATTTCTGGTTTATAAACATTTTACAAACACCATTTACCAAATGATTGACAGTTAAAGCTCTATTACAGTCAAATAGTTTCCTTACAGTTAAAGGTTTTCCTTACCTTTGTCATTTTCTAGAATCACACTTAGATACAGGAAACTTAATATTAGGTGAAGCATGAAGAAAAACCCCAAAAGGATTTTCTGAGCAAAATCTGAAAAGCAATAAACATGTAATAGAACAGATTAAATAAACATAACATACAACAGCCCCCATTAAACATTATCCCTCTGTGTACTTTTGTCTGTTATATCTTTGAGGGGTGGGAACTTACAGGGGGTGGACAAAATAATGGAAACATCAGTATATTAATCTCAAAGACCTAGTAAGGAGTTTGACCCCCTTTAGATTAAATAATAGGTTCAGATCTTCCTACAGTGTGGTCATGGAATCCTGATGATCTTGTAATAAGGGAACATCATGAGGGAACAGTGTCTGAGATACAGGGAGCAGCTGCTCTTGTGAAAAGCCCTCATGTTCCTTGGCTGTTATAGGACCATGCAGAGCATCATCAGACCTAATGACTACCACAAGACGGCTGCCCACACCAACAGACACTGTGGGCCAGGCGTCTCAAACTCCAGTCCTGGAGGGCCTGAGCCCTGCACATTTTTGGGTTCATTTAACCCCTCATTTAACACACCTGATTCAACTCCTTGTGCTAATTACCACACAGCTCTTGAGCCGAATCATTTGTGGTGGAACAGGGAAAGAACTAAGTTACACAAGGCTCTGGCCCCCCAGGACTTGAGTTTGAGACCAGTGCTGTGGGCCGATGTCGTGCTTTGATTTTCTCTAGATGTAACCCCATCCAGATGTTCTGCAATACTGCACTGCTAAGCACACACTGCAATACTGCACTGCTGAGCACACTCTGCAATACTGACCTGCTGAACACACTCTGCAATGTTGCACTGCTGAGCACACTCTGCAATACTTGCACTGCTTAGCAGACTGCAATACTGCACTGCTGAGCACACTCTGCAGTGCTGCACTGCTCAGTAGACTCTGCAGTACTGCATTGCAAGAGATGGTGGTTCACACAGATGCATCGGCCCCTCAGGTTTTCAGAAATGCATCTATTTCTTGTATTATGCATCATAACTGTCATCGGAAATATGATTGAGGAATATTGATGGATATTTTAGCAAAGGAAAGATTGACCTTTTCTGTGCTTTTTTATGCGATATGGAGGAACTGTTCCAATTTTTTTGCTGGGAAGCCTGAGTCACACTGAGTCATTAACATCACCTGTTACAGCCTCCCAGGTTAGGAGGAAATGCAAACAGAGGGAGAGGTGGCAGAAGAGAGGAAAGAGAGTCGGGATGCATGCTAGGCTAACAGCTAACCCCACCAGACCAGTGATACCGTCAGCTCTACTTTCCAATGTCCACTTTAGAAAATAATCTAGATGAGCTTTGTTTACAGTGAGGCACATGCTGGGAGATGAAGGGCTGCTGTGTGTTTGTATTCACTGAAACCTGGCTCCATGATAACATCCCTGATGCGGCCGTCCAGCTAGCAGGGCTGACGTCTTTCAGGGCCGGCAGAGATGCCGCTAGCTGCAGTAAGACTGATGGTGGGGGAGTGTGTGTTTACATCAATGACACGTGCTGTACGAATGTTACTGTAGCTGCTAAACACTGTTCACAGGCAGAATTCCTTATTCTTAAATGTCAGCCTTTTACTGTTGTATTTTTTAGCACCTGCATAATGTTAAGGATGCACTGTGTGGGCTGTATGACACTATTAGTGGGTTACAGTCCGGGTACCTGGACAGTTTTGCGGTGATTGGCGGGGGCTTCAACTTCAGTAATCTGAGAACCATTTTCTCCAAGAACCACCAGTATGTGGATTTTGCCATCAGGGGAAAAATATTTTGGACTTGACATACACAAATAATCCCATGGAGTATAGGGTTACCCCCAGCCCCCACCTAGGCCACTAGGACCATCTGCCTGTTATGTTGACACCAGCCTACAGACCACTTCTGAAACAGACCAGGGCAGTGAAATCATACATTAGAGTCTGGCCAGCAGGAGGATTGCTTTCTTCACACAGAATGGAACATTTTTATAGCTGCAGCTTCCCATGACATCACATAAACATCCAGGAATATGCTGAGACAGTGACCGGATACGCTGCCAAATGTGCTGATCTGACTGTCATAGGGTTTTTATCATGCGTGGCACTGAGAAACCATGGATGACTGCAGAGGTTCATACACTACTGAAAACCCAGAATGCAACCTTCAGATCCAGGGACGAGGTTGCTCTTCAGTCACCGAGGGCTGATCTATCGTGGGGATCAGGAAAGCCAAACGCTTCTATGCTGAAAAAAATCTGTGGCTACTTCATGAACACCAAAGACAGCAGGTGGTTGTGGCAGGGAATCCAGGCCATAACTGATTATGAAACCCAGATGCAGATTGATGACAGTGACACTACACTTCTGCACAGGCTCAATAAAGTCTATGCATGCTTCGAGGCAGCAGAAATCACACTAGGGGAAAGACCTCCATGACCATCTGGGGAGCAGGTCATTGATATCACCACAGCTGGCATGCAGAATACCCTGGCCAGGGTCAATCCAAGGAAAGTAGCAGGACCTGAGAACATTTCCAGCTGTGTGCTTAGGGACTCTGCTGATTAACTGACAGATGTTTTAGCAGACATCTTTAACTTCTCCTTCAGCCAGGCCATAGTTCCCAAGTGCTTCAAATCCAATACAATCATTCCAGTGGCATAGAAAACAGCTGTGACCTGCTTGAGCGACTAAAGTCCTGTTGCATTGACGGTGACTGTAATGAAATACTTATGTAAGGTCACAGACCTTGCAGGCCCTGCCGGTCTGATCTCTGACAAGCCTGGAATGTTCCACCCAGTGTCCTAAGGCAAAGGTCCACTGGCTCCGACAAGACTGGACCCAAATCACCAGATCACCACATTAAAAGGGACACCTCACCCCCACTGGGCGGCCAGAACCTCGCAGCCCAATTCCAGCGAATTGCCTCAAGACACAGATGCATCCTACACTCGCTAACTCACACTAACACAGGAAGTATTACCTCAGACTAACATTAGGGGCACATACACCCATGTTTGGTCTTGTTTGAATGGTCACAGTACGACGAGTACAATAGTCTCAACCTTAAAGCAGTATGTTTTCACAGAAGAGAAATATAGAATGTAAGACTAAACCCACCAAAGTGGAGGATCTTATCACCTGGCAGAACAAAGGAATTGCCACATTCCTCATAAAGCGATTCGATTGGCTGAGGATCTGAGAATTGATAAGATCAGCAGTTCTGCAGGACACACACACAAGATCACAATATTTGGTCAGGAAATTTAGTCTTCAAAGACATTCTGTCACTTGGTTTGGAATACTTAAGGAAGAGCTCCATAGTAGCAAAGGGAGACACTCTGTAATCAGAGCTCCCACATAGTGCTGTATGAATCAACATCTGTAATCAGATATTTTCTGCAGTTATTCTGTGCCCACTCAGCTGAGGTATGGAATTATTTTGAGTTGACCAAGTCAAAATAATTACAGTACATACCTCAGCTGAGTTTAGGAATAGTTTAGGAATTTGTGGCCACATGTTAGAATTACATTAATGTTATATTTGGTTAAATTGATGTCTTGTATTAATTGTGAATAAACTGTGTTTTGATTACTTCTTGGCTGTCTGACTTTGCTAACCTCTGCATGTTTCCCGTAGACTGGGTTTATTTCCCCAGTCAGAGTCAAAACTGCCATTTGGCTCAGGTATATTAGCTTCATTACATCGAACACGCTCTTGCAGCCTCTGACTCGACCCCATTTCTCCGGGACCCGATGCAACTGCCAAAGCTGAGTTAAGGGGAATACCAGCTCAGCCTCTGAAGTGCACACACAGTGAGTTACGGCAAAGTCCGGCTCAGCCTCTGAGGCGCGCACATGCTGAGTTACGGCAAAGACCGGCTCAGCCTCTGAGGCACTCACAAGCTCACATACGGCAAGTGTCGGCTGAGCCTCTGAGGAGTTATAGGTCGCTGGGCCCGAATGGTCGTCTAGGCTGACACTGTGTTAAGTTGTAGTGATTTCCCAACTTCTGAACGAGTCCTATGTAGCAGATCCGCGGATCACCCTTTCGGCCGACACCAATACATACAGTAAACTGGTTAAATTTGCAGATGACACCAAGGTAGGTGGTGTAGCAGATACTACATTAGCAGCACAGAGGCTACAACGGGATCTTGATTTACTTAGCGACTGAGCTGATACCTGGCAGATGAAATTTAACGTAGATAAATGTAAGGTACTCCATGCAGGTAGCAGAAATATAAAGTACAGATATTTTATGTGTCATCTCCCTCTGTCCAGCCCTCTCCTGTGTGCCACGCCTACCTCGTTAACCTTGTGTGGAATCCTTCCATTCTCCAGCTGTTCCACGTTTCCTGCCTTCAGTCTTGTGTATTTCAGTCCACGTTTAAGTCTGTTGCCCCAGGTCTGTGATTGACGTAGTCTACCGTGTGCTCCCTTGTCTGTCTGCTTGCCCGAATAAACCCCTTTGTTTTGGATTTCCGTCTACCTGACCCTGATTCCCCGCTCCATATTCCCTGCTCATCAACCGGACATAACATTATGGGTTCCACTGAAATAAAGGTAGCTGATTATGAGAAAGACCTCGGTATGGATGTTGATACTGCCATGTCCCACTCTCGCCAGTGTGGGGAAGCAATAAAAAAGGCCAATAGGATGTTGGGTTACATCTCTAGGTGTGCGGATTTTAAGTCAAGGGAGGTGATGCTACGATTATGCAATTCCTTGGTAAGACCCCACCTAGAATATTGTGTGCAGGTTTGGTCACCATACCTTAAAAAAGACATTGCTGCCCTGGAAAGGGTGCAACAGAGGGCTACAAGAATGATTCCTGATCTTAGAGGAATGTCTTATGAGTAGAGGTTAGCTGAGCTGAATCTGTTCAGCCTCACGCAAAGGAGATTAAAGGGGGACATGATCCAGGTATATAAGATTCTAACGGGTCTCAATGCTGTTCAGCCAAATGGCTACTTTAATAATACTTTAAATACTAGAACTCGTGGCCATAGGTGGAAATTAGCGGGAGAACATTTTAAACTGAATTTGAGAAAACACTTCTTTACACAGCATGTAGTTAGTGTATGAAATAGTCTTCCTGCTAGTGTAGTGCAAGCTAAAACCCTGGATTCTTTTAAGTCAGAGCTAGATACTGGTAATTAGTGAATCCCATTTAAGTCTCACATTAACAGACTCACAGGGATTCCACAATTGAGTTTGGCGGAACCAACCATTCAGCATAACAATTATTTAATAATCATCACCAAATAATAATTAAAATTGTATTAATTTCCGTACACAGGGGAGAACTGAATTTTGAGAACTACATGGGGTTTAATTGTACTCTGATGACTCAGTTTAAAAGGTGACTCATGTAAATTATCAGTGACAAACAGGCTGAATATGGTTCAATACAAAATTTCATACTTACAGTAAAATCCCTCCAAACGTTTTTTTTCATGATGCAATAAATAATGCTTGATATTTATGCAGGCACATATTCCCAAAGCAGCAACTGCAGTCGGAATTGTATATTCTGAAAAGAGAAAGATCACATTAGTCTGTGGTGTATAATCATCCATACTAGTGCCACGTCCTTTCATTATTATGAATATAAAATGTAACATTAGTCTGTGGTGTATAATTATCCACACTAGTGCCTTATCCTATCACGATTACGAATATAAAATGTAACATCATCACTGTCTGTCTCTAATAAATCAAAGGTTTTCCTTGGTTAAACAATTGCTGTTTTTCCTTTGGTTCCCTTTTCAAAGGTACAATTCACACATTGCCAGTCACATGACACCAGAATTGGGTTGTACTGGAATACAGGACCCTGTGTTACATATTCAGAATACAAAAATGCGTATTCTGTATTCAGCTCATGTTATGTTTATGAAACAGTATTTGAGAATAGTGACACTTTATGAAATTTAAGAAAAAATTCATCGATTCCAAGGCGAAATTCTTGTGCAAACAGCTGCAATTGCAAAGAACACAGACGGACATACATATAGTGCAAAACAGACAAAGGGCAAAGACAGTACAGAGTGAAAACAAGGAAACGTGGTGCAAACAAATTAAAAAGTACACAGTACAAAAATAAAATATCCTGAAAAACAGGATACTGGAATATTAAGATAATGAGTAAATACTATTATTATTTTTTATTATTTTATTAATTTATAAAATCTTATTATATTTTAATACATTGATTAGCCAAAACATGACTACCCTGACTATCTGGTGAAAACAGCATGTCAAGAACTGGGATATATTAGACGGTAAACCAGCATTTGATACTTGTAGTCAAAAGGGCAGGGATAAAGATCTGAGTGACTTTGACAAGGACCAAATCATCATGGCCAGACGACTGGGTCAGAGCATCTCTCTTGCAAGGCTTGTGGGGAGCTGACAGCCAGCCGTGGTGAGAACCTACTGAGAGAGTCTGAGGAGGGAAAAACCACAATCTGCTGACAGAGTGTTAGGTGGCCAAGACAGATCGATGTGAGATGTGAATGAATTTTAATGATGGTCACAGGAGTAACGAGTCACAACACACAGGGCATCGAACCCTCCTGTGCCTGATGGAGGACATAGTCAGCATGCCTCCGCTTACTGTCCCCCTGTTACATCCCTTTCAGCTAATGGCTGCAATGTATGTTTTGTTCCTTATCTGTCTGTGTCTTGTTCTATTCCAGGCTTGGCTCCGTACGCTAATTGATGGGATGTGCCAGTGTGCGAGGCGTGTCCCAGATCGACTGCATAAAAGGGGGCTTGGTCTGTGCGCGGGGGGAGAGGGGGCTGTTGTTTTTGTTTGTTGTTGTACTTTTGTTTTTCTGTAAAATTTATTATGTTGCAATAAACCACTAGACATCTCAAACTCCTCTCCTGCACTTTGTTGCTATTTTGAGCCGATGGTAACAAAATGGGGACTTGTCCAGGATTTTTTTCTTTTGAGTTTGCAGCATCCGCAAATGATGTGTTTGTCTGGTTGCATTATTTCTTTTGTTACTGCATCAGAATGCCCGGTTTGATAAATTCAGCGATATAAAATTGATTAAGCCATAACCTTTCTTTGAAACTCATAATTAATTGCGTATTATGTGGGATGTATGGTTTGTTATTTTTGGACAGGTCCGTGGCTAGAGCTTTTATTTCGTAGGCACTTCGAGGTATTTGGGAAAATCGCTGGTTTCCGGTTGTTTTCCATACCTGCGGGTTTAGTGTTTAATCCATCCCACCACTGGCCTGTTTGAAGCTTTGCGCTTAGTTACCGTATTTTTCGGACCATAAGACGCACTTTTTCTCCCCTAAAAGTGGAGAGAAAAAGTCACTGCGTCTTATGGTCCGAATACTGCTCTGCTCACATGCTTTAACCCTCTGGGGTCGAGTGCATAGTTGGCGACGCAGCGTACTTTTCGCGTCTATTTCAGTTTATATCTCGCTGAAATCTTAATGTAGAATCATGAAAAAAGCTGGCTAAATCCATAATCTGTCTTCTTTTCAAAACGTCTATTGTCGGAAGTATTAAAGTTTTTAAAATGAGGTTAAATCGGAAAAAATGAAACCATGTCACCTTTGTCACGTTTGTTTTACCTGCATCGAGGGCGTGTAGTACCGCTGTCACCTGAAGATCGCTATTAACATTCTAAATAGCCGGATTAGCGCGTATTAAAATCGCATTCGCATTGTAATTTGGTGAACAACACAACGGTGAAACACGATCCAGATACATCCCCATCAGCGCCATAAAAGGGGGGGAGGGATGTGGCCAGGTAAGGATGGTTAATATAAAATATTTTAGGACACTATTTGGTTCAGAATCTTTTTTTCCCTTCATTTCCCTCCTCTAAAACTAGGTGCGTCTTATGGTCCGAAAAATACGGTACTTGTTCTTTGTTTTTGTTTTTGTTTTGAATGAAAAAAGGGTTATTGGGCTTATCTTACTATTGCTGGGATTTCCATTTTGTATTTCATATTTTCTTGGATTTCGATAGGCAAGGGAGATCATTGAGTTTGATATTACATTATTTGGTTCAATTGTTTGAAACATGGCATCACTTGTTGAAAAGTTTGTTGTAGAACCGTCTAAGGCCTTATTTGATGCATTGACCAAAGATCAATTGATACAGTTGGCTAGTCATTATAACATAGATGTTCCGAGTAAAAAGTATAAAGATGATATTAAAACGGCGGTGAAGTCAGCTTTATGCGCGAATGAGGCCATTGTTGCGGCCGACTACCTGTCTGATTGAAGAGGGAAAAAGCTCACAGTCTCCGAAATCTGTAGGAGGTTTAACATTTGATGAACAGAAGGAATTGTTATGTTTGAAATTAGAAAATGCTAAGCTTGAACATCAGATGCAAAACATTGCCAACAATCTTCGTTTGTGCCCTCCTTTTAATGAACGAGATGTGGGTACATTTTTTATAATGTTTGAAAGGGTGGCAGAATCGCAAGGCTGAGATGATTTGTTTTGTGTGCTTGTACTTCAGTGTACTTTAACTGGTTGGGCGCAGCGGGCGTTTACGGCTCGTAGTGTAGAGGAGAGTAGAAATTATGCAGCTATTAAGGCTACAGTCTTAAGGGCCTTTGAACTAATTCCCGAGGCTTATTGGCAGCGTTTTAGAAATATGCGAAAACGACCAGATCAAACAAATGTCGAATTTGCCAGAGAGTTGCGTTTACAATGCCAAAGGTGGTGTGTTGCTTCTAACGTTAAAATGTTTGACAATATGGTGGATTTAATAGTTTTGGAGCAATTTAAAAATACTTTGCCTGGGTGAGTTGTGACATATGTGGCAGAGAGAGAGGCTCAGAACGAAGCTGAGGCAGCTGTGAAGGTAGACCAGTATGAATTAACTCATAAAGCTCATTCTGGTGAACGCCTGCTATTAGCAAGTGGCCAAAAAGATGTTAATTCATTTTGCAATAAAAGTCCAAGTGTTAACGCTCTGCCGGCTGTTGGTGTTAGACCTGAATCAGGACAAGTGTGCCGGTATTGCTTGGGGAGAGGTCATTGGAAAGGGAATTGTCCAGTGTTGAAATCAAAAGGAAAATCTCCTTACTCCTATGTGAAACCTACGTCTTTTGGGGTAGCGCCTTCTGTGTCTCACGTCACTGTAGTTTCTTCTGAAATAAATCCTACTTATGCCCCATTTATTTCAGATGGATTTGTTTCATTAGTTGGAGAAAGTTCCCGTAAAAATTTTGCGTGACACTGGGGCGTCAGAGTCCTTTATTTTGAGGTCTTCATTGCCATTTTCATCTTTCAGGGAGGTCCCTGTTGGTCAGAGGTATTGATCTCAATACTTTTGAGGTTCCTTTACTCAAGGTGGTCCTTTATTCTGGTTTAGTGGAATGTGAGGTTGAATTGGGTGTGCGTCCTGCCCTCCCTGTTGAGGGGGTGTCTGTGATGCTTGGGAATAATTTAGCTTGAGAACGTGTTTGGTAGAATCACCCTGCATCTGTGGTAACTGCTTCTCAGTTGGAGTCTGATGCCCTTACAGAGCAGTTCCCTAATGTGTTTGCAGCTTGTGCCATAACCCGCGCTGCTAGTCGTGCTGCGGCAGAGGTTGAACAGCTCAAGGTGGTGGCAGGGAAGGCTAGGTTTGCTTTACCAGATTTTCCACTGCCATTGTCACGTGATGAGCTTGTTAAGGAAGAACAGGCAGATCAGTCTTCCTTGACTGGTCGAGCTGTTTCGGCTAACACTTTTGAGAGCATAGCTCATGGGTACGCTATTCAAAATGGATTGCTGGTGAGGAAGTGGACAAACTTAACTAACACTGTACTGGGGGAGCCATGGTTACAGGTTGTTGTGCCTTCTGTCATCCGTCAGTCAGTGATGAAGACCACTCATGATATGTTGGGGCATTTGGTGGTGAGAAAGACTTATGATCGCATTATACGTAATTTTTTTGGCCTAGGTTAAAAAAGGATGTTGCTGCCTATGTTAAAACCTGTCATGTCTGTCAGATGACTAGAAAGTCCAAACAGGTAATTAAGCCAGCACCTTTGCAGCCCATACCGGTGGAGGCAGGTCCATTTGAACATCTGCAGTTAGACTGTGTAGGGCAGTTACCAGTTTCTAAAGGTGGTTCTAGGTATCTACTGACCATTATGTGTCAAGTAACCCGCTATCCTGTGGCTTATCCACTAAGTTCTATTACAACTAGGTCAACTGTAAAGGCTCTGTCTCAATTTATTTCTGTGTTCAGCATTCCTAAGGTGGTCCAGACTGATCGGGGCTCCAATTTCATGTCCCGTGTGTTTGGTCAGGTTTTGCACCAGCTACATATTAAGCATAATAAAGCCTCTGCTTATCATCCACAGAGCCAAGGTGCACTTCAACGTTTCCATCAGACCTTGAAATCCCATCTCCGTGCCTATTGTATGGAGATGGGGCGTGACTGGGAGGAAGGATTGCCGTGGCTGCTGCTTGCCTCTAGGGAGGTGATTCAGGAAAGCACTGGTTTTAGCCCGAATTAACTGGTTTTTGTCCATTCTGTACGAGGGCCTTTGGCCGT